AAAGGAAAAACAAAATTAGAAGGCACACAATGATTTCAAATATTCCTGCAAAGCTACTTTTAGGCACAGAGAACAATGGAATAGAATTGAGAGACTAGATATAAACACTCACATATATGATCAATTAATTTTTTTTAATTTGGTACTGGGACTCAAACTCATGAGTTCACATTTGTCAGGCAGATGCTGAGCTATATCCCCAGTCCACGGTAAATTAATTTAAAAAAATAAACATGACAGCATTTTTAAGTTTTCAAACATAGTTTGCTCTATTATAAAGAATCATTCTCTGAAAAGTTATAGAAGCTATGGTAGTTTCAAATTATTTTTAACAATGACTAACAATACAAAAGTAAAGGCAATCTTATACTTGGAAACATAAATTACATTTAAGAACAAACATAAAAATAATAGGTTCATTTCTCATCCTCAATCGGTTTCTTTTCACTGTCTTCTTCTATATCGTAGGTAAATGGTTTGTCATAACCCATTACATGGTTATAGTCTTCAGGGTTTGGAAAGACCACTGGATTTACGGTGATTTTGTTTTAGCATAAAATGTGGTAAACATGTGTGTGCTGTCTGGAATCTTCATGTCAATCTGGTGAAATACTGCTCGTTTCTAGAAACACAATATTGTAAGTAATGGCTTTATAAGTGTTCGTTGTGGCCTCATGGTTCAACCAAATGACATAGCCTTTTGCAAGAAAATAAAGCAGTACTGGGGTGATCACTGTAAAGCTCCCTGTAATACCATAAAATAGAGGATTTGCAAAGGCAGACTTCCAAATACAACTTTGTGAGAAACGTATGGTAGAAATGTAATGTTGATCACACTTGGAGAATAAGAGAAACATTTCATACCAAATACTGCACAGGCCAAATTCCAGTATAAATCAGCCTTCCATCTTCCGATTTGATAAGTTGTGTATGGGAACCTCAAACACATCCTTCTCATCAAGCAGGTAATCTCAGGTTACCCAACTCTTTTGGTTCTCGCTCCAGGTGCAGCAGCCACTTTCTTTGCAAATTAACCCTTCTGGGCTACTCAGGGTTAGAAAAGAAATTTAATAGAATTGTCCAGACAAACAGGTTGGCTGTGGAATCACCTTAAAGTGCTTAGAGACGCCCAGAAAGGTAAGCACTTTACTTTTTCTCACGGAGCTCCTAACTTGCAGCTTCTGCAAGCCCCGCTTACGGAGCGCTTCCTCCCTCGTACCTGCCACTAGCTGGACCGGGAGGCTGCAGTGGTGTCCAGGCCCAGCGCGACGCCGGCTCCCCACGTCCCAGCCCGTTGCTCGAGCCTCGAGCCACCGTCCCACACTAGCCTGAGCGGCCAGAGGAAGTGTGCAGCTCCTCGCAGCCCCGAGCTCCTGCACCCGCCGGGCCGAACATCCGCTGCAAGAGGCAGCACGCGCAGCGTCCACCCTGGGCCCGGGAGCGCGACGGCCGCCCACGAGGCCGCCCTCTTTCTGCCTAGCAGCAGTCCGGCTGCCCACAGCTCGCCCAACGCCGGGATCAGTGTCTAAGGCTGAGAAGATGCAGAGGAGCATTCTGTGGCGATGGCCACTGCAGAAGGGTGCGCGTCCCGCGCCCTGGATCTTTGTTGGGCCGCATATTTTAATTTGTTTGGTACAGGGGCTTGAACTCATTACCTCGCGTTTGCTTGCCAGGCAGCCGCTGTGCTGCTCAGCTATATACCCGGTCTTACTATTTTAATTTCTTACAAGCTACTGATATTTGACTTCCTGCCACTTCCGTGAGTGTATTTTATACATTTGTTAAACTGTCAGATTATTTTGTCACAGTCTGCATTCATTCTGGGATTTTACCAACCTCCTAATGATTTTTCTTTTTGGCTCAGAGGTATTACATGAAAATCCACTCTTTATGCTGTGACATTCTGTTGGTTTAAACAAATATATAGTGTCACACTTCCACCATTCTTTTTCTTTTTCTTTTCTTTTTTTTTTTTTTTTTTTTTTTTTTTTTTTTTTTTTTGTCTTTTTTGAGACGGGGTCTCACTATGCAGTTCAGGCTGGCCTTAAGCTCACTTTGTAGCCCAGGCTGGTCTCGAACTCGCAACGATCCTCCACCTCAGCCTCCCAAGTCTGGGATTACAGCGTGAGCCACCACACCCAGCTCACCATTATCTATTTTTAAAGTATTTAAACAACTATACCAAACAGTTAAAATTGTCCAGTTTTACAGGGGAAGAGAGATACATCAAAGGTGGCTTTGCCAACATTGGAAGAAAACCAGGAGTGTCCACCTGCAGAGACTGGGCTCTTCAGTGTGATGGTGACAGAAGTCTGGCATTACACCATATTAGAAAGCTTTTTTTTTTTTTTCTTTTTCTTTTCCAATTCTTGGGGATTGAACCCAGGGCCTCTGCACTGAGCTACAACTCCAACCCTGCCCCTCTGTTTTGAGATGTTATTTCAATTGCCTTTCATAACAGAGAGAAGGGACCTAAGAGTTGTGTGCCTGTGTCTATTCGCTATGTATGAGTTCAGCAGAAACTTCCTTTCCTTGAGCCTCAGTTTCCCTACTTGTAAAATGTGCTTCCTAGATTACTTCTATTTTAGCTCCAGACCAGAATATCTCTAATTATGTCTTCCCCAATCCCTTAATGTGAGCAAAACAGAGTTCATCTTTTTGTGAATGACTTCTATGAAGGATCAACTGCATGATTGTTTTGTTTTTCGTGGTGCTGAGAATCAGAAGCTTTTCACATTCCAGGCAAGTACTCTACCCTTGAGCCACACTCCCAATCCCTAGCTATGTGATTCGTGAGGGTTAGTACAAGATGAAAATACAGGGCCTTAGCCAGGTGTGGTGGCTCATGCCTGTAATTCCAGCACTCAGGAGGCTGAGGCAGGAGGATTGTTGTGAGTTTGAAACCAGCCTGGGCTACAAAGTAAGTTCAATGCCAGCCTGAACTGCATAGCAAGACCCTTTCTCAAAAACACACACAAAAAAGAAAATACAAGGCCTTTTCTTTAAAAATTATTATGAATCTCAAGACAGTGACAGAGCACTGGACCAAGTGCAAGGACCCTGTTGGTTGCCCAGATCACATGCCTATGACATTAGCCCTGCTCCTGTGTTTCCTTCATGAGCCTAATATTGCTGACCTCTCCTGCCCATCACACTCCTCCTTCCATCATACCTCTGGGTTCCAGTCATAAAGAACTTTTTGTGGGTTTTTTGTTGTTTTGTTTGTTTGTTTTAGACAAGATTTTGCTATGTAGCCCAGGCTAGCTTTGAACTCATAGCAATCCTCCTCTACCACCACGCTCAGCTTCATCATGGACTTTTTGAAGTTCTCTGGATTCTCTGAACTTTTTCCTCTTGCCCAGGTATCCTTTCCTTTTTTTTTTTTTTTTTTTTTTTTTGTACAAGGATTGAACTCAAGACTTAGAGCTTGCAGGCAGGTGCTTGTGCGACTAAGCTAAATCCCCAGTCCTCTCCTTCCCTTCTTTATCAGCTCTTTTGTCTTCAGCTTTGTTTTGTGTGCCTTTGGTGGTGCTGGGGATGGAACCCACAACCTCAAGCCCTGACCTCAGTTTCTTTCAAAATCTCCCTCATCGATCTTCTGCTGTGAACATCAGCCCCTGGTTTTCCCCACATCTCTCAGGAAGCCTTTTGCCAGCTCACCCTTTCATGTCCAGTTTCCATATTTCATTGTTTATAGAATTTCTGGGATTGTTGTTCTAACTTTAAAGTAGGAAAAAAAATCCAAATTGTTTGAAACAAGCATTAACCAATGCTTAGCATTTGTTCATACCTACAATGGATGACTTCTATGACCATGATCTTCCATCACGTCACATTCATAGAAGCCTCAAATTTAAACTTTGGAAGGATTTTCCAAATGGAGTTTGGAAGCTCCAAGGAAAAAGACACCAAGAACTTTAGAGTTATTTTTCGGGGTTTTTTTGTTTGTTTGTTTTACTTTTTGTTTTTGAGACAAGGTTTCACTAGGTAGCCCAGGGTGGCCTCAAGCTTAGTGATCCTCCTCCCTCAGCCTTCAGAGTGCTGGGATTACAGGTGTGCACCATCACACCCCACAAGGATTTTAGAGTTGTATTTATTTCCCAGACTACATTACCTAAAACTGGCATGAATATTTAAATACATCATGCAAATATCCCTTTGGAAGCACAATATGGAATTTACACCATGAATCGTGTAACTCTGCCCTGCCTTTTGTTTTTCAGTTCGCTGCTAAAGGTTAGAAAATGTAAGCAGCCTCTGAGGCTACCTCTGAGAAGAAAAAATCGATTTTGCTCTATTTTATCTTCATGAGAGCAAAAAAACAACACAGAAGCTGAAGGCAAAAAGCAAACTGGTATCAAACTATATCATGTACAGGTACAAATTATCTATGATGAATGTTATCATTATATATCTAAAATGTGCCAATTTAATAATAATTAAAAAAAAAAAAAAAAGGACGTGGTGGCGCACGCCTGTAATTTCAGCCCTCAGGAAACTAAGACAAGAGGATTGTTGCGAGTTCAAGACCAGCATGGGCTACAAAGTGAGCTTAAGACCAGCCTAAACTGCGTAGGGAGACGCTGTCTCAAAAGACCAAAAATAAAAAACAAAGTAAAATAAAATAAAAAACACTAGACCTAAAAAAAAAAAAAAAAGTAAACTAATTGCACTTGCCACGCCAGCGAGGCTCCAATGACGCCTAGCAACCGTTGCCTTAACAACACGATTTCCGCCAGCTCCAGGAACATGGTTCCCCTCATATCCCAGAAGGCACTGCGTTGTCCCCTGGTCTTCGGCCTCTCTCCAACCCAACATGCAATTAGGTTCGCTTTGCTAAGCAATTTTCACTAGGGTGATTATAAAAATGCCTGAGTCTGAACTGTCTATAACAGGGATACGAGTGGGAAAAAAATCTCAAAATGTGTATCTAGTGATTTGTTTTTAGAGACTTTGGTTGTAAAGGCGATTATAAAGCTTCTCCTTTTTCTGGATCTGTTCAGGCACCTTATTGGGCAGCCCGCACAGATTAGAGGCGTCAGGGGGTCCTCGGGGTCCTAAGCAGGGCACGTGCGAGAGGAAGTGGCGCTCTCTGTCCGCGCGGACCTGATAGAATCTTAGACGTGGAGTCATGGGAGGCTTGGAGAAGAAGAAGGTGAGTGGCAGAGACTCGGAAGTTTTCGGGAAGTGGAAGACCGGGAGTGGCGGAGCCTACAATCATCTTTCCCTGGTTTTGGCTCCTTGTGGGGCAGGAACGATAGGATCAAGGAGGCGGGGACAGCCATGAGAAGGGATTGGAGGATGGGCTAGCACTGTACTGCAGTGTTCGTCTGAAATCTAGGAAAGAACTGCGAAGATATTTCTATCGAAATAGTTACAAAACATTGCTTCACCCCAAACGCAGGCCGAGTCGTAGGAAGACATTTTGCAAACTGCGCAACAGAACGTACGGTTCATTTCTAAGACTTGCGTCCTTTTGATTGAATCAAGGCACCGTTACGAAAACAAACAATCATAGGTGGTCTCTGCTTTCCCCGAGTTTGCTTTCTGGCGTACTGGGAAGATGGGCACAAAAATAAGCAAATAAAATGACCACAGATTTTTAAATACTGAGAAGGAAACCAATGAGGAATGAGGTCGAGACTGTAAAACAATGCGTATTCTAGTTAGTGACGTCTTGGAAGTTTTCTTCAAGGCATAACTCTTGCTTTCAAATCTGAAAGAGCGAAACATGCTTGATAGCTTCTGGGGAAGTAAGAGTCTTTAGCGAGCAAGCCTGGTGTTGGAAACTAAATACCATGACCAAAAGGTAGGGAAGGCCTAAAAAAAGCTGGGTTTTAGAACCATATTGACATTTTGAGCCAAATAATTCTTTGTTGTGAGAAGAGTTGTCCTGTGCATTGTAAGATGTTTAACAATATTGTTAACCCACCTTTTAGGTCCCAGTAGGACCAAACAACCAAAAATGGTCTGCAGACATTGTTGAATTCTCTTCCTCTACTCCGCACATGTACCCAGGAAGTAAAGGCATCCTGTTGAGAACCAGTTATCCCATGAATGTTTGACAGAGATATATGTGGCACAGGATAGTAGAAAACACTCCTATGAAAACTGAATGTTGTGATACAGTCTGAAGTTTATCTTTATATTCCCAACATTTAGCATGGCCCTTCATACAATTATTGAATGTCTGAAGGAAAGAATGAATGGTATGTTTCATGAATGTGAAGTTATCATAAACATATAGGAGACTACAGGTTTGACTCTCAAGAGATGGGAAGTCTTAGAGACCGTCTGTCTTATTCCAGAGTAGACTTTTGGAAGGGACATTTGCATGGTTAGCATTGCAGGCTGTTTGGTACAGTGCACTGCTTTTATTAAGCATACTGAGATGTGAGTGTGAGGCAGCATCTTAACACCACAGACATTCAGATGGTTGCACAGGGCAACATGCTTGAGGATATGTAGAGACTATTTTTTTTCATTTTTGTTTTATCTTTATTGCTCTTATAGTGTCTAGTTTTGAACATGTGAAGAGGACCTGTTACTGTCTCCTGAAAATGGGAGAAGGCAAAGGCTGTGGCTTATGTTTTGTGGCATATATTTTCTTTTTCTTTTATTTATTTATTTTTCCTCCAGTACTGGGAATGAATATGGGGAATACTGAGCCAGGTCCCCAGCCCTTAATAATTTTATTTTGAAATATGGTTTCGGCTTGAACTTGTGATCCTCACTGCCTCAGCAGTGACCTGAACGATTGGCAAGGCATGCATTTTCTGCCAAGATGCTGTCCCCAAAAGAGCAAAATTGGTTGGGGGGGGGCGTAGCCTAGATATTGCAGTGGCTTGTGGCCCTCTCAAAAGGGCCACATTATATAAGCAAATCTGTAGTATATCTGTGCTATTAGTATTTCATGGGGCTGTGGAGAGAAAAGAATGAACTGTGGGGCTGTCCAAAAAAGTCTTGTGATAAAGGGTGTTTGTTTTTGAGACAGGATTTCACTATGCAATTCAGGTTGTCATTGAATTTACTTTGTAGCCCAGGCTGGTCTCAAGCTTGCAGCAGTCCCCTTGTTTCAGCCTTCTGAAACAATCCCAAATGTCCTGGGATTACAGGCGTGCACCATCTTGCCTAGCTGGTAAAAGGATATTAATGGGGGAGATTGGAGATTGAGAACACTGGTTTAGCAGTTAAGAGCACAGACTTTGGGACTTGTACCTGGCTTTGAACCCCAGCCCCAGCTTTTAAAAAGCTATGTAATGTGGACAGGTTGTTTCACTGAACTTGTTTCCTCTGTGAAATTGGGGGTCTAATGGCACCTATCTCAGGGGGTTGTGAGAATTAAATAATATGTCAAAAGCAGTATCTGTACTGGCCAGTACGTAGAACTAGTGCTAAGTACTTGGCACATCATCAGAGTCACAACACCTCATAGTCCAGTGTGTGTCCTTTATGTTGAAAACCACAAGGATAGTACAGGAGAGCTCATTGAGATAGGCCAGCTCTCTCCCTCCAGGTTTACTATTCCAGTTACATCATGGCCACTTGTCCAGAGTGATAGTTGCCTCTGGAATTAGGCATGGCCAGAGTTTGATGTCTGTCATTTAAGTATTGCTAACAGAGAATTGTTTTTTCCTTCCCTAAGTATGAACGAGGCTCTGCCACCAACTACATCACCCGAAACAAAGCCCGCAAGAAGCTGCAGCTGAGCCTGGCAGACTTCAGGTGAGATTGAAAGGAGTAGAATTGGGTCCTTGGGGAGCCTGTGCTGTGAAATGCACAATGAAAACTCAGCTGCCTCCTGGTCTCACCTTGTGCTTCTGTAGACTAATATTCTGTTATTCTTCCTCTTTGTCACCTGGCTTTGCTTTAGTGGGATGTGCTGTGCCAGGTATGGTCCAGGGGTAATTTGAGGAGAACTGGGTCTGCAGAATGAGTTGGTGGAATCTTTGCCACTCTATTTTGGTAGAAGAGACCAATGATCCTGCAGCTGAGGGTTCTTGTAGAATCAAGTATAGCCTGTGGGCTCTGCCACTGGGTCAACCCTGGCCTCAGCAGCCTCTCCCAGCTCACTTTTAGGCCTAGTCCTTTGTACATGCCCCACACTTTCCAACCTTATGATCTTTGTCCTTTTTAGGACGCGTATCCTTCTACGTTTTGTTGAGGTTTTTTTTCCTTTTTCTAGTACTAGAGATTAAACCCAGAGAGTGCTGCCACAACACTCCTTGCTCTTTTTATTTTATGAGACAGGCTCTTGCTAAATTGGCCTTCAATTTGAAATTCTCTGCATTAGCCTCTCAAGAAGCTGGGATTACAGGTTTACAGCACCATACCTGGCTTGCCCCTTATGTGGCTGAAATGTTGATTTTTCAGTAAGGCTTCCAGGGCCTGCCCTCTCAAGATCCTGTTTGTTTCCTTTCTGGGTTTATGACAGACTCTATTACGCATTTGTGTGAAAACCTGTGATTCTGAAACTCCTGCATTAGGATGTGAGCTCTCAGTGGAGAGCTCCTGAGCTCCCTGTTCACTGTTGATTTCCAGGCTCATGTGTGGCCAATGCTTTATACCTTTACTCACATGACTTACGGCTTCTGTCTTCTAGGCGACTGTGCATCCTGAAGGGCATTTATCCCCATGAACCCAAACATAAGAAGAAAGTTAACAAGGGCTCCACAGCACCCCGAACTTTTTATCTCATTAAAGACATCAAGTTTCTCCTCCATGAACCCATTGTTAACAAATTTCGGGAATACAAGGTGAGGAAGCCTAGGCTGAATGTCTGGAAGGGTCTCCTTTACGCACTACTCTGTGACTCACTAACTGTGATCTTATGCAGCTTGCCAGCCTCTCTGAGCAAGTGTATTTGAAGGAAGAGATCATTTGGTCTCAAAAGGATGTCTCAAAGATTCACTGAGATTGCATGTCTGGAAATCATTTGCACAGAACTGGCCAATAATTAGTGCTTTCCCTATTAACAGTTTCCCCTGGTTCTTTACTAAAAGATTACATTTTTTTGGTCCTGAGGTGAAGATTGTGCTATTTCAGGGTCTTTCTGGTACATTGCCTAAAGAAACAGCTCTTAATCTGGTTCTTTCTGAGGTTACTCCCAGGAGACTGAGTGTTCCATTCCACAGACAGATATCATTCACTGCTCAAATACCACAGGGACAACAGAAACCTATTTTTACCAAATGGAAATAACTGAAAAAGTAGACTAGCTACTGACGCTTCCGCCTGGGAGCAGGGTCTGGCTGAGCAGAGGGGTGCCATCTGGTGGCCAACATGAGACTGAGCAGCGTAGTTGCAGACTTGATATTGATAGTGGGCCCATGGTGGGAGATGACTGTTTCTGAGCTGCTGTTTGTCATCCCAGATGCTGTTTGAGCTTCTGGGAAGTCCTAAAGGTGGGCTTGAACAGAAGTTCTTTGAAGGAAGTTATCAGATGAGTTGGAAGACCAGGCTGATGCTGACGAGTTAGGAACAAGGCCCAGCCCGTCTGACTCTGTTCTTTCTCAGTGGCACATCACTTTGCCTCTTTTTCAGCTAGAAAGTGGGGCTTATCTGCCTTGTTTTCTTCCCTTGTAAACATGGCATCAACGTATCTGTGAGTGGTTATTGCTGTGCGTCATTAAAGGAGGTATCTTGGTCCAGCTCAAGTCATCGTAGGTCAATCGGGTGCTCTGACTGCTGTGCACATCCTTGGCTGAGGGGGCTGATCTATAGCCAGACGGCCAAGGCCAGCTTCTGGAGGCAGTGAGAGGCTGCCCACCCCTTGGATTCATCGTCTGTGGAAGAAAGTGACCAGCAGTCCTTGGTACAGCCGCAGTGGTCCCTTCCTACTTTCCAGGTGTTTGTTCGGAAGCTCCGGAAGGCCTATGGGAAAAGCGAGTGGAACACTGTGGAGCGTCTGAAGGACAATAAGCCTAACTACAAACTTGACCATATCATCAAGGAGCGGTGAGTCAGGCACTGCTCAGAGCACTACTGTCTTCCCTGCCTGCCTCTGTCCTCTCATTGAGGATGGTCAAGGACAAGACCAAGACTGTGTTCAGAGAGTGCACATCCTTGTGAGGAGACAGACCCAAATCCAAACTGACAAGTCACCATAGTGATTGCAAATTGTGCTGAGTACCATGAGGGATATAGGCAGCATGCAAGGAACTGGAGGAGGTGTGTCAGTGACATACCTGTCAGAGGAGTTGTCTCTGGAGAATGATGTTTGAGCCACTTGGGGGAACCACATTCAAGCAGGAGGAAGTGCATGGCCTTGTGGTAGGAGAGAGTGAGACCTCTGGGGCTACATGTGGAATACATGATGAGACATGTGAGGCATGGGAAGTCCCTGTAATTCATGTGCAGAATCAATGATACTTAACCAGAGTCATGTTGCCTCTCCAGTGGACATTTAGCAATGTCTGGAGTGCTTTTAGTTTCCTGTAGATAAAGCCAGGGTTGTTGTTACATTACCCAGAACAAGCTCTGTAACAGCAGTCTATCCCAAGGTGTCAGTAGTGGTCAAGTTCAGAAACAGTAAACTAGTGACTGCCTCTTTTCTTCTGGGCTAATGGTCCAAGTACACGTAGCTGCAGAATAGGTGGCCTAGGCTCTGTTCATGTCAGTATGAGCTATCCTGGGAATGGCCCTGGCCTAGAAGCTAGGTTCATGATGTTTTTATCCCAGTATTGTGGCCATGAACTGGGCAGTTGGACAGTGCCCATCACAAACACAAAGATGATGTTCTTTCCTGTCTTGCCTATTGCGTAGCTGTTCTGTGCAACAGATAAATAGAGAGGCACTCAAGCCTCTGGATTCATATATCAGCTGGCACTAGCATCCCCTTAACTGGAATCAGAGCTTAAGAAAGAAAATCAGGTGGCCTAGCAATGACTAGTGCCATTTCTACAAGTGTTCCTCAAGCTGAGGAATTATGAAACTGCAAAGGACCAGAGAGGGGCAATTGAGATTTCTGCCTCTGCACTGAGAGCCCCAGATGGTTCTTTTGTTGCCTCCATCCCTGCTTGGGTTTGAAATCTAGCAGACCTCTCCTGACTTACTGCAGTGAGTGACAGTCCCAAGTTCTTCAGAGTCCTTTATGAAATAGCAAAGCCTCTCCAAAGGAAGCTTCTTGGAAGGGAGTTTGGAGGTCAGAAACTCTAGAGGCTGGTCCAGCTGCAGGGATGTTGGGAGAGGCCAGAAATTCCGTCTGTCCACTTGTGCACAGAGCATTTCTAGATTGCTGCAATGGCCCAGTTTAAATCACCAGTCTGGTCTTGTAGTGTCATCTGGAAAATGGTGAGGCAGTATCATTTTCCAGATGAAGTTGGGGTTGGCTGTGGCAAAGTTACCTGCCCTGGGGTACATGGTACTGGAACCCAGCTGTCATTCATTACTTGTGGTTCAGTGTGTTCTCTATGCCCTGCACCTCAGTCCCTCAGCTGGGCAGCCACACAGTGGTAGATTCCACCTAGGGTGACTAGTTTTCCACAGCTTCCTCATTTCCTACAGTGTTCCTAGAAATACTTCCTTGTTCTGTCTCTTCCTAGACTCCTTCAGGTCTCACTTTTACCTGAAGGAGTACTTTACCTTTTTGCAGCATTTTTACCTCTGGTTCTAATTGATTCTGTCTAGTAGATGAACCTGAGTGATGAGAGTCAAGAAAGACATACCCCACTGTAGTGATCTGTGCCTAGGCCCAGACACACATTCCTCCCAGGCCCACGAGGCAGCTGCCCATTTCTTTTCCTTTGTGGACCTTCTATAGATCATCTTTGAACTAAAGGTTTTTATCTTCAAAAAGGATCAGAGAGCCACTAACTCTGTCTACTTTCATAGAGCAGTGGTCAAGGCCAGGTCTGTGGTGGGGTGACTTGGGGTTCCCACTGGAATTTCTCTGGCCTTCAGAGCTCAGTGATTCCTCCTAGAGCAGTTCCAGGTCTGCAGTCAGCTTGAGTGCCGGTAGGTCGAGGAGTGACGCTGGCAAGGCCAAGCTGGGGGAATGGTACCTCTGGGGTGACCGATGGCGTAGAGGATGGAAATCAGGATCCTCTTGGAGCCCAGGCTGAATAAACTCACGAGCACAGCCCCCATGGCCCTCAGGTACCCTACATTCATCGATGCTCTGCGGGACCTGGATGACGCCCTGTCCATGTGCTTCCTCTTTTCCACCTTCCCACGGACAGGCAAGTGCCATGTGCAGACCATCCACCTGTGCCGCCGGCTTACTGTGGAGTTTCTGCATTACATCATTGCTGCCCGTGCCCTGAGAAAGGTGAGCTGGGTGCCAGGGAGCCTGCTTGCCCTCCCCTGCCACTTGTGGCTGTCACCACATTGTCTGTCCCTCTCCCCTCAGGTCTTCCTGTCCATCAAAGGCATTTACTACCAGGCCGAGGTGCTGGGGCAGCCCATTGTGTGGATCACACCCTATGCCTTCTCCCATGATGTGAGTGTGCCCATAGGGAAGGTCTTGTGCTGGGTCCTGGATGAACATGAATGTATGCAGGACAGACTTACTGTCCTGAGGAGTCCAGCACATGCTGAGTTCCTGATTGTTGGCTCCAGTTGGAAGTAGGACGGGGAATGTGCTGCACAGCCCTGTAGCTCTCCGTCACACTGTCCATTGTAGGATTTCCAATGTGATAAGTAGATATTCAGAGCCTAGCATTAAGCCTAATTAAGAACAGGTGTCCTCAAGCTCTCCCAGCTCCAGCACACATCACCTGGATGACCTCAGACATGCTCAACTCATCGGTGCCTCATTCAATTAGAGTTCTAAGCCCTGTCATGAGAATTTAAGGGAGAAGAAATCTTAAGTGCCCTGTGCTTCACTCTTGGGGCTGAATGAAAAGTGTGAGCCACTTTGGGTGAATGTATGTATGCCTTCACACCCATAGGGTCCTCATCCCCAATCTGTCACTGACAACTCTGATCCTGGCAAGCTGTTTCGTTTCTGCTTCTGCTCCCCCATCCCATTCTCCCCACAACTGGAGAATGGGGTGACCCTAGAGGTGGGGGTGGGGGAAAGCACTTAACATGGCCCTGCCTCTTATTGACGTCTCTTTAAGTTTTGGGGGGTTCTTGCCAGGGTCTGACAGAGAAATGCTAGTTTTGCCTCCAGTGGAGGCTTCATTGGCCTCTAGTGTCCCCAAGGGTCTGTCTTGGCCCAGCCACCTGACTTATTCTGTGGCCTGCCCTTAGCCTGCCTTTCTGCTTCTTCATAGCAGGAGCTGGTGTCTTCTATAGACAGCAGGTAAGGCCGACAGTCTTGTTGAGGTAATGGGCTGCTGCTGCCTGGGTTACCTTCAGGTGCCCTGGGGAGTTCTAGGGCTGGGTATAGCACTGTGGGTGAGAGGTGAACTTTGGCAGTCCCTGTGCCACCCCTGGGGCAGATTTAGGTAGCCAGAGCCTATGGTCCTTCCCTCTTCCTCTCTGCATCCCTCCTCCTCCTTCCTTCCTGCTTTTCTCTGTCCTTCCTGTTCTCTGATGTCCCACCCCCGTGCTACTCAGACTGGTCTTTGTGTGCCTTCCCGAGTGGTGAATAGGGCCCTGTGGAGGGACAGCCTCCACACAGCTGGCTCGGGGGGAAGGGCACAGCTGTCTAGTCCCCCTTCCTGACCAGCTGGTCACCACTGCTTCCTTTAGCCAAAGATGAACAGCCAGTCCTTGGCTGTAGTGAGGCCCTGGTATGCCCCTTTCCTGAGTAGCAATGCTCTCTGTAGACTGGGGGGTGGGAGAAAGTAGGGGGTGCTCTTCTCAGTTCCATGCTGTGTAGGTATGGGCTTGGTATCCAAATGCCCAGCAGGCCCATCAAGGGACCAGGCAGAACCCCCACAGCACACATCACTCACTGCCTGTCAGTGAAGAGATAACTCAGAGCCTCAGTATACCCAGCAGCAAAGGGATGCCATGCTCGTGACTAATTTTGATGTTTCTTGAAAAATTCTCTTGTTCAACCCTGGGGCCCTCAGAGTTGGGTTGACCTCCCTGGTTCTAGAGGGTTGGACAAGTTGAGAGTTGAGGTACAATGGTCCAGGTCTCATCACCTGCTCAGGGCAAAGATGAACCATGCTTGGTGGGTAGGCAGCTCATGAATCTGACTGCCTCTGCTCTGAGCGAATAGTGATTCTGCCTGTCATTTCCCAGGGGCTCCCTGCACTCGAGCTGGGCCTTCAGGTTTTACTTCCTGTATGGGCTTGAGGAGAGGTCACTGAAATGTGGACATCTCTCCCAGGGCTCTTCCCAGTGTATGGACGGCCTTTGCAAGGCACTTCCCACTGAGGTCTGTTGCCCTTCTGGGCCATGGACTGGGCTGTGTGCTGGAGACCTGCCCTCTTGTTCTCAGCCGGCTCTGGCTCCAGGAACCATTGAACAGATGTTGGGAGGGATGATGGAAAGGGCTTGAGCTCCTTGGGTTGGAGGTCACTTTCAGGACAGAAGTGTGTGCTGAGGCTTGAGAGATGGAAGCAGAGGTCAGGCAGTTATAAGAACACCTTGGACCCTTCTCTTCTGGGGGAAAAGTGTCACTACTGTACCATGTGAAGGTCTGGCATCGGCCTCCAGCATAGCCCTATCCCTGGGAAACCTATCCTGAGCCTCCCTAGTGTCAAGAATGCTGATGAATGGGGGTGTGCCACAATCCCAACCTTGAATCCTTCTGATGCATCTCTTGTGCCCCCAGCACCCGACAGATGTGGACTACAGGGTCATGGCCACTTTCACTGAGTTCTACACCACCTTACTGGGCTTTGTCAACTTCCGCCTCTACCAGTCGCTCAACCTCCACTATCCACCAAAGGTAGGGCCCCTTCCTCCTTTCCCTCCCCACTGGTTTTATGAGATGGGCTCTCATTAGTAATTCGGGCTGGCCTTGGACCAACAGGGATCCTCCTGCCTCAGCCACCCAAGTGCTGTGATAATAGGCTACCATACCCAGCCTGAGCCTTTCTATTCGCACATGGATGTGAGGGGCTGAGGCTGTTCTCATCTGACTTTCCCTCTGCTCCCCAGCTCGAGAGTCAGGCCCAAACAGAAGTGAAGGCGAAGGAAGATACCTATGCATTGGACTCTGAGAGCGCCATGGAGGTGAGAGGGATTTCAGGGGTTCAGCTCGGTGTCTCCAAGGGAATAATCCCTGTCTCCAGCACCTCTGGAGTTCTGACCTTGGGTAAGGGCAACTTGAGTGGTTGGTGGTCTTAGGGCAGGCCCAGAGCTATCACTGCTTCTCTCCACCCTAGCCACACGTCAGCAGGGTACCCACCTGCACGTAGGTAGCACTGCCACTTTGCTTCTGTCCTGTAGAAACTGGCGGCTCTCAGTGCCAGCCTGGCCCGTGTGGTGGTTCCCGCAGCAGAGGAGGAAGCTGAGGCTGACGAGTTTCCTGCTGATGGCGTAAGCACAATGCTGCCTTCTGCAAGAGGGGTGGGACTGGGCATAGGGGCCATATCTAGAAAGAAGCTTGAAAGGGAGTCACCTTCAGCCCCTACCCCCACCCCCACCTCCACTCTCTTACCCACCCCCACCCCCACCCCTGGGGAAGTGAATGACTTGAGACCTGGCTTCGGCAGGAAATGGCAGTACAGGAAGAAAATCGCAGGAAAGAGCTGTTGGCTCAAGAAAAACACAAGAAGCTCTTTGAAGGCCTAAAGTTCTTCCTGAACCGTGAGGTGCCCCGAGAGGCCCTGACCTTTATCATCAGGTAGGCAGACTCTGGGCTAGCCTGTGTCATTGGCTGCATGCCAGTCTGGGTCCTGCCGTGGGTACGTGTGAGTAACATGGGGATGGCATCTGTTTAAATGGGCTTGCCCGAGCACCTAGGAAGCGCTCAACGAAGGTTACCCTCGCTGTATTGCCAGCTGAGGTCCCTGCTGGGCCATTTACTGGAGGTATTGGCATAGACTGGAGAGTCCAGGGTGGGGATGGATTCTCTCCACAAAGGGTGAATTTGTGGGCTGGGTGGCCAACACATCCCAGAGAGTTGGATCCTATAGCAGGCAGCTCATGCCTGGGGGCATTTGTGGTCTGTTCCTATCCTTGTAGAAGTTTCGGGGGGGACGTGTCCTGGGACAAATCTTTGTGCATTGGGGCCACCTATGATGTCACAGACCCCTGCATTACCCACCAGATTGTGGATCGGCCTGGACAGCAAACCCCTGTCATCGGCAGGTAGGCCCAAGGCCCTCGTGGCTACTCAGGGAGGGATCTGTCTCAAAGGGCTCTGCTGAGGAGCTGGACTTCACAATTAATCCCTTGTGACCTGTCTTTGCTGGCCATTCTGCACCAGGTACTATGTGCAGCCCCAGTGGGTATTTGACTGTGTCAATGCCCGGCTCCTCCTCCCTGTGGCAGAGTACTTTCCAGGGGTGCAGCTACCCCCGCACCTTTCACCCTTCGTGTCTGAGAAGGAAGGGGATTATATTCCACCAGAGAAGCTGAAGCTGCTGGCTCTTCAGCGAGGAGAGGATCCAGGTAAGTGGGAGAGGGCCAGCACCAGGGCGGGCACACTCCTTGATGTAGCCATTTCCCTTGGCTACAGAGTTACAGACTCTAGGGAATAGGCAACAGCAGCTGACACTCCTTGGAGCCCTGCTTTGGGTAAAGCTTAGGGGTAGGGAAGGGACCATTTGCATCTTACAGTCAGATGGTAAGATTGCATCTTACATTCAGACTAACTGAGCAGAACAGTGTAGAGTAGTTATCCATGTTCACATAGACAACAAAGTTCAGAAGTGGGGGTTGGAGGCCTTGTAAGTTCATCTGAAGGCAGCTGTACCTGTGGGGAAAGGCCAAAGGTGGCTACGTTGGTACAGTCTTGAACTGCCTTTGGCATGTCTGTCAGGTCCCTCAGTCATAGGGCCAGCATTCACTCTGCAAGGAAAAGAGCAGGTAACCAGGGCACTCATAAGCTACTAACTGTCCATAGGAAACTTGAAAGAGTCAGAAGATGAGGAGGAGGAGGAGGAGGAGGAGGAGGAGGATGAAGAAAACGAAGAAGATGACAAAGGTGATGGTGATGAAGAGGAGGAGAAAGTTGTAGAGGCTGATTTGGGGAAGAATGGAGAGGCCCACCTGGCAGCCCTGGAGGAACAGAGGATGGAGGAAAAGGTATGGGCGTGTTTGACCAGAGACACTGCCTGGAAAGTGGCCCCTCTGGTTCAGAAGGGCAGTATCCCGGGGAAACTACACCCACAGATGCCTGCTGTGTGTCCCCAGAAACCCAGAGTGATGGCAGGCACTGTGAAGCTGGAAGACAAGCAACGGCTGGCTCAGGAGGAGGAGAGTGAGGCCAAGCGCCTGGCCATCATGATGATGAAGAAGCGGGAGAAGTATCTTTACCAAAAGATCATGTTTGGCAAGAGGCGCAAAATCCGAGAGGTAAGTTCCTGTCACTGCTACCTGAGACTGGCAGATGTGGCTGCGCTATGCAGTGAGCTCAGAGGTAGGAGTGGGTGCCGGAGATGAGACTGTCCTCTGGGCAGACTCTGGATCTCGCATATACTTTTCCTGAAGTTGTCTGCTTGGCCCAGTCCTTCCCGGGGACTTTGGTCCCCTTCTGCTCCCTGGTATTCCTGAGCCTCAGGGAGGAAAGTTATCCTGGAGGAATTGAGAAGTTTTTGTTAAATGTCAATATTTTCTTTTTTTCATGTTCACAAAGTCACATAAGCTCATTTAAAAAACAAAACATGTACAACCCAGAAATCTGTAATGGATGCCACAGAAGTGGCTCACAGTCTTGTATTTGGGCTGATGTGTAGGAATAGTCCTCCAGGTTTCTCTTGTGCACATAATGGCATTGTTTGTGGAGTATCATGCTTTATATAGATTGTTTTGGGTTTTTTTTTTTTCAATAGATGGTTTTAAAGCGAGTTGTAAAATGTCCAATACATGACCTGGTCCCTGCCTATAAAGCTAGACTATATTAGTCATTCTCAGAGCTAACTTCCTTGAAAGAGTCCTTACCCACCTTGGAGTATCTCTGCAGGCTAACTCTTAAATGTGTGGTAGCTATAATCCTGAAATAGATACTGCCCAGTGACCTGGGAAGTTTTGCTTGCAAGTTCTGGTGAAGGTGTGAATGTCATCCAGCTTTCCTGATTTGTGCTGGTAAATGGGACTGTTGCTGAGGTTCCTTCATCTCTGGGAGCCAGGGATGATTGTAATTGATTTGTGAGCCTATGATATAATAAAGAGCCATAGACAGGAGGAGGTATGCCTGATTAATTGGTAGCTTTTCTACAAGCTCTGATTTTTAAGGAATAACCTGAGTAGAAAAGTGAAGATTCTCTTCCCCGTCCCCTTCCCCTCCCTCGAACCCCACCCACCCCCAGTCTGAGTTCCTTTTTCTTCTTCACAGGCCAACAAACTGGCACAGAAACGGAAAGCTCATGATGAGGCTCTGAGGTCTGAGAAGAAAGCAAAGAAGGCAAGACCTGTATGAGGCTTGTGGCCCTCCTGGCAGCTGGACATGGCAGAGACAGGCCAACGGACCTCAGTGTGGTGGCAGACCAGTCACATTTGTTCTGGTCACCCCTTCTTCCCCTGGCCAGCCCTGGCACCGTCATGCCCTCTGGGTGTGTGGGCTGTCCAGGGTCCTGTGGATGGAGCTCCCTGCTGGTGGCTGAGCAGAGAGGCCTTCTGCATTCTCAGGAGTCAGGCACCTGACAGACCTTCTCACTCTTCTACTTACATTCACCCTGGCTTTCTGAGCCCTCACTCACACGACTGGACCCGTGGTTGTCAGGGTGCTGTGATGGGGTGAGAGTGAGGAAGCTTTTGTTATTAAATGGCTGGACTTCTGCAGCAATCTGAATTTTGTGTTGAACCTTTATGGAGTTGCAAAAGTGCTACCTGGTGCCCTGTGTTGTAGGCTTCACCAACCCTAGCTATCTACCAGAATAGGCCTGGGCTCATCAGGATGCTCTGCATGTCCCAAGGAGCCCTACAGGAACACAGGTATCAAAAAGGCTTAGGGACTTGGGGAGTGGCCTCCATATTTTGATGTTGGCTCACATTCCAGCCTGGTCACTTTCACTGAACCTGCTTGCTCCAAAGCTGTGGTGTGAGGGTAGGTTTGGATTCTCAATCAAAAGGCTGTATTGAGTGGTTAGTGATAACTAGAGAGACTTATTATGTCTCTTTATCAAGGGGCTAATGGAGCTAGCCAAAAAAGTAGAAGTGGTTGAGGATCTAGGGGTCCCAAGGGCAGGTACACTCTTAGCTTTGTAGGCTCATGGGCAAAACCAAGTAACCTCCAGTGTCATCACTGCCAGATTGTTACAGTCCTGCCTTATATTTTCCACCTGACCTGGCACTATCTACAGGTAGCTGGGGGTCATCCCTTGCCTGGGGCTATATGCATTGTGATAGAGCTGGGGCTAGAACCTGGGACCCTGAATGTAAACACCAGGCTCTCCAACCTTCCCCCAAGGCTACTGGTGAGCTAGTGCTGTCTAGAGCAGGGAGCAGCAGGCTGGGGAAGAGTGGGTTTGGAACTGGGCCCCACCTTCCCTGAATCTAGACACTCGAAGACCTTGACCTGCCAGGCATGGTGTGCTGTTTCTGTAGGTGGAGAATCTTTGGCCAGTAGCTGCAATTGGAGGGAAGAAGCATTGGCTCCCACCAACTGGACCTTACTGTGGGAGGAGAGGGCTGTGTCTCGTGTTCAGGCTGGCATGTCCATGGCAGTCAGGGTGCCTCCAGAAGCAGATGCAGAGGGTCAGGACTCTTGGACCCAGAGTCTGTAGTCCCAGGGGATGACTCAGGCCTGCCTGGGTGCTTGTGCATCCCAGGCCACAAGGTCAAAGCAGACCAATCAGATATGGAAAAATGCCTGGCAGCCACTCTAATACGGAATTTTCCCCATTCCAGAAGAGCCCAGAAATGGCGGGGGCAACAGGGCTCTGACATGGCCCATGCCCTATTGGCTGCTGGCTGCTTCTGTACTGCCCACGGCTGGAACCAAGAATTCTTCCTTCACAGACAATAGCCCCATCCTTGGTTCTGTTCCCCTTGGGGGAAAGGGAAACCCTGGACCTGGCACTCACATCCTGGTGGCCCTGCCTGCTCTTAACCCTGATCTTGTTCTAGAGAGGAAGGTCAGCTCAGATTTTAATGGAGTTAAGTTCCTTGCCTGAGCCGCCCCCCACCCCCCAGAATCCTGGCTGCCCCTTAGCAATGTACCCCATCCCCTGGCTGTGTATCCTGAAATGTGTCCCACTCTGTTTGCACAGATGAGCAATTCCATTGAATCCTGAGGGCACCAATGTCCCAGTAAAAAGCAGCTAACCACCTCAGTTCAAGCCCAGCGTACCACCATCAAACTCCAAGTATTCTTGGGTCTCCTGTGGGGCTGGGGGCTCTACTGAGCCAAAGGACTGCTGGCAGGACAATGGTCCTGTTGGCTCACCCAGACAAATGGGCCTTGTTGGGCTGGCGGCGGGGGCACAGTAGTGTGCCCCTGCGTGCTGAATGCGGCTTCTGTGCCTCCCGGGCAAGCAGGGCGGGTGCACAGGAACCAGAACTGGGCAGGAGGGGGCCAGAGCCTGGAGCGCCCATTGGTTAAAGTGTGGAGGGTTGGGCCAGGCTGGTGACTGCACCTGGCCTGGAATAGTAGCCGATGAGAGCCGCTGTGGCGGCAGAGGGGCGGGGACATGGGCCAGGCCTGCATGAGTGTGGGGCCTTGGCGAAAGCACCCCACCGCCCAGTGAGCAAGCGCCCGGGCGGCGCGGCCCGGAGCCAGCCACGCTGAGCCCAGGGAGAACCAGGCCAAGGTATGTCCTGTGGGGCAGCACTAACTGTTGGCTTGTCTTCATTCAGAACCCCACCACCTCAGCAGCCAAAGGATCACTGCTTGTAGCTTGCTGTCTTTGGAACATTGTGTACAGCATCCCTGCACCAGAGGTGGGGTGGCAAGGATGGCACAGGTTGATGCTGGTCCTGCCTTTGGATTTTGCCCTATACCTGTAAGTCACTGAAGGCAGCAGGCTGGGCTGGGGCTGCAAGCTTGTTAATGATTAATCTTGGGCACAGTAGCCGGAGCCCTAGTGAAAGGGGGCAGGGAGTTCCTTTCCCCACCATGTCTCCACAGAGGGGGTTTGTCAGAGGAAGAACTGGGGACCATAGTAAGGGACCAGTCCCTTCTGTTTGAGGAAGACCCTGAGGATGCAAGGCTACCAAGAAGAGGCATTTGGGGGTGGGACAAAGCCTGGTGCTGGGGTGGGGGGGAGTCCTATCTGAAATCCCACAGTTCTGTTGCCTGGGTCAGTGGCCAGGAAGGAGGTCCAGCTTGCTCTGCTTGTAGGGTGCCAAGCCAGAGCTGGTAACGACATAGAGCACAACTATGTGTGCTTCCACCCATAGGCCAAAGCAGGAGAGGTGATGGGCCCACATCTGGCTGCTGTAACTGATACTGGAGGGAAAGGGAAAGAGGGCAGCAAGCCTGACACTTGATATTTGGGACTGCCATGGTGACAGGCACCATGGAAATCCTTAGGAGAGAGGTGTGGAGGAAGGTCCAATTAGACTCCAACCTTTTCCTCTACTGAGGTGGTGATCTGAGGTCCAGAGAAGGTGAGGCTTGTCCAAGATCACACAGGAAGCACAGCTCAGGGACCCATAGACCAGATCAGCTTCTAAGCTGCCCCATACTCCCATTATCTGGAAGGGGAACCTGAGGCTCAGGGAGAGTCAGTGACTTGCCCAAGGTCACATAGGTTGGAGGTAGTTAGGTTGACTCCAAATCACAGTCTTGCCTGGTTTAGGACCTCATGCTCTGCCCAGGCCCTCTCTGCCCCACTGGAGTCCTGGCCTCTTAGGTCTGCCTAGGCTTCCCCAAACCCCTCCCCCTGGCCTCCCTGGCTCCCAGCTCTGCCTGACACTCAGTGGCGGGCAGGCTGTTACCCTGGGAGCAGAGACAACAGAGCCCTGTTCCCCAGCTGCCACCTCAAGATGCTTGATTCCCTGCTTCTTGCTCAGGCACATGTGGACAAAGAATGCAAGCCTCCTCCATCCTTTCCCTTACTGTCCTCTTACCACTAAGCACATAAAGACTGTGTCCCATAGAGTCCCTGCCGGGCTCTGGGAGACTGAGTGTGCCACCCAATGAGGGAGGCAATGATTAACTTGGGGAATGATGATCAGATGGAGGAATCCTGGGCCTAGCTGCAAGTTAGGGAAGAGCTTCTTGCTTTGCTCTGAGGGAGAAATATGGGTGACCCTTTTTAGGAGCCCCACACCATTCCAGAGGAGGCCAGACAGGGCCAGACAGAGGAGCCGTGAATCACCAGAGGACTGATGGAATTACCAGGTGAGTGGAAATAGAAGTACATCCCAAGGAATCTGTATGTGTCAGTTCTAGGGTAGAGATAAGAGCTCCAGTGGTGTCTTGCCCTGCGGTGGCACAGGGAGCTAGTCTTTCCCATCTGTGCCTGACTTTTGTTTGATCTAGAACATGAGAATTGGGGTGGCTTGAGTCTGGAACATGGGAAGGGAGGTCTCCCAGGTGTTTGCACTGACAGATCCTGCTTCCTCTGCCAGGTGTGATCTAGAAAGATCTAGGAGGACCATGATAATAACCATTGTACTGCCAGGCACTATGCAAAGGGCTCTGCGTGCCTCACACCACAGATTCTCCCAGCAAGACTATGAGGGCATGACTGTACCTCCATTTTTTTTAGGTGACTGAGGCTCAAATAGGGAAAGTCACTTGCCCAAGGTCACCCAGCTGGGGAATGGTGGAGGTGGATTTGTAGTCCAGGCATCTCAGTCCAACAATAGAGAAGAGGTGGGTGTGCATTGTGCATAACAAGTGTTCAGCACCATTTGTAAAACCTATTACATATCCTTGTGTAAATGAGTGCATAATCATTCTTTAAAAATATTTCAGACATGTTTTAAATAGAGAATGAGGTTTCAACCTCTATACACTCTTCCCTGGAGTTCTTAGTATTTTAGGAGCTAATAAAGGTGTCAGAGTGACTCTGATCACCACTCACCCCCCTTTAGAGCAGCTTTGGGACTACTCAGATCTACCATCAGAGGGATGACTTGCTACAAGGCAGTGTAGCAGAAAGAGCTTGCTCTGCTTGCTCTTAGTTCTGGCTCTGCCATTTATGTTTTCATAAGAATATTGCACTGTCTCAGTGGCTAGGGCCGGTACCACCTGGCATCTCTGCGTCCAGCCAAAGACCCGGAGAGTAGGAGCAAGATGTCGGGGCTAACAGTGTAGAGGTCCTGTGAGCCAGTTAGCTGAGGTATAGCTGAGACACCTTGCTCGTCTCTGCTCCAGCACCCCACTCCAGAGGGGCTCGGAGGGAGGAAGTTTCTAAATCCCTCCTGCAGGGTGGCCCAGCCTCTCCTATCTGCCTCTCAGCTATGCAGCCCGCACTTCCTAGCTCTGTGCCAGACATCTGCTGCCCTTTCCCCATTAGGACACTGAAGTTCAGAGAGGGTAGTGCGCCTCCCTCAGCCGTGCAGTGAGCCACTTTTCCCGCCTCCAGCCAGGCTGTCGATTTTGAAAATTGAAATATCTTTATTTTTAAAGTTTTTGCTAGTTGCTGGCAAAAAGAAAAAGAGAAAGAAAAAGAAAGAAAAATGATGTTTGTACATGTACCAACTCCTCACAATGAATGTACTTATGTGTTGCAAATATCTACTAATAAAATTTTTTAATTAAAAAATCAAAATGTCAGCAGAAAAATTTCTTCTAAGTAATGCAGTCTCTTGTAAATATATATATTAAAGACATATATGTGAAATATATAATAGCATATGTAATAAAATATGTGAAATATATAGAGATATAGATATAACCATAGAATAAAAATGTATTATAGAAAGTAATGTTTCTAATCCCCAGGAAAGCATAGTTTATGTTCAGGGATCTTTTCAGACCCTTTTACTGAAGTATGATTTTTGAGCTTTGCTCTATATAAGTTGATTCTGGGCACAGTAATTGGGCTTAAAAATAGGCAACTCTTAAACTTCAGTTTGTTCTCCATGGAGATAAAGGCTCTGTGAGCATGAAAGGGACTAAAATTGTACTGCAGTGACCATTTCTGTGCACCCATCTCAGATCCACTGTTAGGCATCTTCTTGGAACATATTCCCACAAATGACTTTGCTGGACCTGAGATCCAGTACGTTGTTGACACAATATTCTTGGTTTTTTTTTTTTTTTTTTTTTTTTTTGCATGCTTGGGATTGAACCCAGGCACTCCCATGTGCTAAGCAAATGCTCTATCTAGCTGCATTCTCGGCTCTGCCAGAGCCCTGCCCCATCTGTGCATATGAAGCTGCATGGATATGGGTCTCCTGGGGAATGGTCGCACAGGAAGCAGCTGTGCCACAGAATGTAATGCAAGTAGTGGCTTCAGAGGCCCTGGCTGCCCTCTTTTTATCCTTTGGGGCTCAGTCTCACCTTTTTTTTTTTTTGATGACTGCATGTAGTTTCCACTTTTCTGTGGCTGGCTTTCAATCCAAGACTTCCCACCTGTCCTCCAGTCAGGGGCCCCCCACTGCTCTTTGGACCATCTACAAACACCTGATACAACTCAGATTCAGTGTGTCCTAGTGGAATCCAGATGACCTACCCTGTTTTCTTGAAATTCACTGAGTGTTTGGTGGGCACTCCAGGCTCCTCTCATCTCATGGTATTGAATCTCACCAGCTGTCATCCTGCTCACATGCCCCTGGCCGGAATTTAATCAGAGAAAGACACTGCAGCAAGGGAAGGTGAGAAATGTAGTCTTGCTATGTGGCCCTGCAGGAAAGGAAACTGTCTTTGAAAACTGTGTCTAGTGGCTTCCCTGTGTACCCTAGTACCTCTGTGAGCCCACTCTCCAGGGAAGAAACCAAGACTCATTTTCCACAGTGGTTGCACCAGTCTGCATTCCCATCAACAGTGGAAAGGGGTTCCTTTTCCCCACAGCCCCTTCAGCATTTGTTATTGCTTGATTTCTTGGTAACAGCCATTCTTTCTGGGGTGAGGTAGAATCTGTGTTGTTTTAATGTGCGTCTCTCGAATGACCAATGATGCTAAACATTTTTTCATGTATTTATTTGCTGTTTATACTTCTTCATCTGAGAAGTGAGAAGCTGCTATGAATGTGACAAGTCTGATTTTCCACTGTGGTTTTGCCTGTACCCTAGTAGCTCTGTGACCTTTACCTATCTGAGCCTTGGTTTCTTCCCTGGAGAGTGGGCTTACAGGGGTACTAGGGTGCACAAGGCAGCCACTAGATACAAATGAGGTTCTGTGCATCGATCAAGCAGTCTCCTGCCTCCCTGTCTCTCCCTCAGCCTTCTAACCCATCTTGGGCTCTCTGCAGTGCTCTGCAGTTGCTCTGCCCTTGACTCAAGGACACCTGAAACTTTGCTGAGCCCTTGGATGAGAGAGCCCTTGGATCCAGAGAGAGGCAGGGACTGTGAGGTTGTCCTGGGCAGGGGCAGGCAGAGGGCCAGGGCACCTCCTGAAAGGTGCTGGGGCATGCCACATTCTTTCCCCAGGGAGGGAGCTCATAAATATTCACATGCATTTGAGAGGGAGTGGAGCCACAAGCCTGCTGCTGGGTGTCATTGGAGAATTCCTGTCTCCCAGTGACTGCAGAGGCAGCCTGGGAGTGGATGTGGTTCAGGCCAGGAGAGGAAAGGGGAAGCCAGTCATAACTTGAGGTGAGTGTGTCTCCTCTGCCCCCTCCGGTTTGGCCCTGGTGGCAGCACTCTAAGCTGGATAGTTTACCATCCTGGGCTCGATTTCTCTGTGTGCTGGATGTGGGGATGAGTCTCACTTGTCATTTTTCCTGGAGGTTCTCAGCTGGAGGGGAGGATGGCTGGGCCTGGCCTGCCGCCATTCACCTCCTGTGGAAGAGGTGGACATGGCTGGGGTAATGCACAAGGGCTAGGATAGGTGGGGAGACTGACAAGGAGACCGTCTGTCCTGAGTGCCTGAGTTTGTCACCACTATGGACAGAGAAGGCAGGAGACTCAAGTTCTAGTCCTATCTCTGCTGGTACTGTGCTGTGTGACCTCGAGGGTACCCCTGCTCTCTCTGAAGTCTCTATCTGCCTTTTTGCCTTGCAACTTGGAGACCATGAGACTCTGGCTGCAGGGAGATTGCTTTTGAACCTGAGGCCTTGAACTTGGGGGTGTTAGCTGCCCACAGTCCTATACCAGTGGGCACACACCTCGATGGGGTCAGGAATGGGACCTTGGTAGGGTAGTAATGATGATAATAACAGTGATGGCAGACCACACTCAGCAAGCTTCTGCACTGTGCCAGCCCTGTGCCGGACACATGCCTGTGGAATGCAGAGGGTCTACATAGCCCTGGGGTTCATTATTTTCTTGTTGCTGAGACACAATACCCAATACCCACAACTCTAAGAAGGACTCATAGTTTGTAGTGAGTGGTTTCAGTTCATAGTTGGCTGGCTTCAAGGCAGGGTAGCACGGCAGAGAGGCATTGCAGAGGAGAAAATGCTCATGGCATGGTGACCAGAAGCAGACAGAGATCAAGGGAGGAGGAAAGGAGACATACCCTTCTAGGACATGCCTCCAGTGACCCATCCACAACCAAGCTTTACCTCCCAACAACACATTTAGCCAGAAAGTCACTAGTGAATTAATCCACTTGTAAGTATCACACCCCCATGATCCAATCATTTCCCCAAATCCCCACCTATGAGTGTATGAGGCTTGGGAGAGGACATCTAAATATAAACCATAATAGCATACTGTGATGGAGGGCAAGTTGGTATTATCATTTCAGAGGAGAAATGGAAGCCCAGAGAGGAGGACACCTTTGCTAAGGGCACAAATCAAGGAAATAGCAGAGCTGGGATTTCAATCCAGAACCTGTTTCCAAGGTGCTGGTTTTGTAAGGCTCTGGGTTGTTTGTTTTGTCTTTTTGAGACTAAAAAGCCATGTAGTTCAGGCTGAACTTGAACTCATTCCGTAGCCTAGGCTGACCTCAAACTTGGAGTAATCCTCCTGCCTCAGCCTCTTGTGTTCTGGGATTACAGGTGTACACCACCACACCAGGCTGTATGGCTCTGTATACCTAACTTGTACACATGTACTCTTATACTCAGGTGGCTATCACATGTGTGACTACATGGCAAGCCCCCTCACATGGGGCTTTTACATACATATAGCTAACAAGCAAGAGTTACGCCTATATGTCTGTGTCAGCCTCACAGCCTGTCTTCTGTGTGGTGCCGGTCTGGCTGCCTGGACCATGGACCCATCTAAGGATTGTGCTTGGGCTGTGCATGGGTCCTGCCGCCAAACACTTAACCAGGTACCAGG